TGTAGAGAGAGAACTTTGTTAGAGAGCGCTTGTGTGGCTTGTGAGAGAAAATTCTTATTTTTTGAGTGGTTGGCAGGCTTGTCTCTTGTGTGGTATGAGTGTGTGCGGGCAGAGTTCGTTGAGATGTGCTAGCGACACGTGCGTTCTTGAGAAATCCCGAATAAGATATCATTCCTTACATATCCGTGCCTTATTTACGCATCTTATTCGGTTCAAATTTTGAACATCTGGCGACCGTGACAGGACTCTGGCGTAAATAATCTCGTGTGATCATGGATAACTGCAAGAAGTTAAGGAAAACCGCGCGTGCGGCATTCACAAGGACATACAACTGGCTCTCAACGAATATAAGTAGAGACGCAGCAATCGAGGATATACAAGCACAGTTTGCGTTGTTAAAAGATAAAGCCAGTGAAATCGAGGATCTCAACGATAAGTTGCAACAGTCACTACTCGATCAAGAAGAAATGACGGATCAGGACCTCGAAGAAGAATCCGCGACATGCGATGAATATCGTCTCAAGTATTATCGCATCAAGACACAAGTTACGAATCTAATGCAACCGATGCCCCCAATTGCAAATGACGGCGAGGCTGTTCAACCAAGGAACAGACGTGACAACGAACAAGCCATCCAAGATAAACGATTCAAGCTACCGAAGATCGAGTTACAGAAATTCAGCGGAGAGTTACGCGAGTGGCTGCAATTTTGGAGTCTCTTTAAGAATATCCACGAAGATCAACAGATTACCAAGGAAGATAAATTCCAATATTTAGTTCAGGCTATGGTAAAGGATTCTAGAGCTAGTGATCTTGTGAATAGTTATCCACCGATCGCGGAAAATTATGACAAAGTCATAGACAGTTTAAAATCAAGATTCGGTAAAAGCGATTTGTTAATTGAGCTATACGTGCGCGAGCTGCTCAAGTTGGTGTTGAACAACACCACTAAGTCGGGAAAGAAGCCATCCGTCGGTAACCTGTTCGATAAGCTCGAAACGCAGTTGAGAGCGCTCGAGTCGCTTGGTGTCACTACTGAAATGTGTGCGGCCATGTTGTATCCTCTAGTGGAATCTTTGCTGCCGGAGGAGACATTGAGAGTTTGGCAACGATCACCGGCGTCGTCTGGCGCTACCGTCGCAAAGGACAGGCTCACTAACCTCATGTCGTTTTTGGCTTTGGCGAAAGAGGTTCAGGCAGAACAAAGAATTGAAATGGTTGTTAGTGGTTTCGGCATCACCTCAGAGGCAAAGGTGAAGGATAGGAATAAGAGAACGAAACAGGAAGCGTCGGAAACACCAACGGCGGCAGGACTTTTAACAGTAAATGAAACGATCGACTCTAAATGCATTTTTTGTGACGAACGACATAACTGTGTAAATTGTGAAAAGGCTAAGAAACTATCTCTGGCAGAGAGGCAGGAGATTGTTAAAGAAAAGAGAGCCTGCTTTTGTTGTGCCAAAATCGGACATAACCTCAAGAGTTGTTGTTATAAGGGTAAGTGTGCGTGGTGTGGTCACAGGCATATTCTGTTGTTGTGTCGCAGTGTGGCCTCTAATACGTCGAGCTCCGGAAGTAAAGCGAAGACGGACACTCAACAAAAGGACGTCGTGGAGAATCTGTCCAATCTGTCATCGGGCCCGGAAGTTTTTATGCAGACACTTATGGTTAAAGTATACAACGACAATCAGGAACAGTTGATCCGAGCGGTCGTTGACTCTGGGTCACATCATTCGTATATCTCAGCTGACGTGGCTGCGAAAATGCAATTCAAGGAAACAGGTAATCGCACGATGATTCATTCGCTGTTTGGAGGCGTGAGTACTCAACCTCTGGATCACAAACGCTACCTCGTTTGTTTACGTAGTCTTGACGGTGGCTATGCGTGCAATTTCAACGCATTCGAGCAGAATAAAATATGTGTCAATATTCCCAGGGTGACCGGAGGTTCTTGGATCAAGGAACTAAGTAGAAAATCCATTAATCTCACAGATGCTAACCACGATGAAGTACCGATTTCCCTCTTGATAGGAGCCGATGTTGCTGGCAAGCTTCTAACCGGTCGAATAGTTCAACTTGATAATGGAGTAACGGCTGTTGATACCAAGTTTGGATGGACAATAATGGGCAAAAATCCATCGCACGTTTGTCAGCACAACGACAGTGTGGCGATCGCTTTTTCTATGTATGTGGACGAGGCGAAGATCGAAGACCTGTGGAATTTGGATGTTTTGGGAATACAAGATCCCATCCAAAAATCTACGAAGGAACAGCATCAAGAAAACGTCCTAAAAGGCTTTCGACACTCTACAATCATAAACGAGCAAGGACGTTATGAGGTATGTTTGCCCTGGAAGGAGAACCACCCAACTCTACCGATGAATCGTGCGACGGCTGAGCGGAGGTTAGAAAGTACAATCAAGAAACTAAAACAAGATGGTCTCTACCAAGCCTACGACGACGTCTTTCAGGATTGGTTGAACGATGGTATAATAGAAGAACTTTCTAGCAATGAAGCAAAGGATTATGGACATTACCTGCCACACAGACACGTAGTTAAGAAAAATAGCACGACTCGGATTCGCCCGGTTTTCGATGCATCGTCAAGAGAAAGAAGAGGTCCCTCGTTGAATCAGTGCTTAGAGACGGGACCAAATTTCATCGAATTGATACCCGAGTTGCTGCTACGATTCAGGCTGCAGAAATTTGGAGTGATAGCAGATATACGAAAGGCATTCCTTCAGATTAGCGTCTCGAAACAAGATCGAGACGTTATGAAATTTTTGTGGAAGAGACGGCCTGAAGACACGGAATTTGTGGTCTATCGACACTGTCGTGTCGTTTTTGGAGTATCAAGCAGCCCATTTTTGCTGGGAGCAACCATCGATCTTCATCTGGAGAACATTGCTCGAGACTTGCCCAAGGAGGAGATCAACTTAATACGCGATCTTGCAAAATCCTTCTACGTTGACAACAGTATAACGAGTCACCCAACGGTCGACGAAGTAAAAGGTTTCAAGGAGAAGGCGACTCTATACATGAGTAAAGGAGGATTTGACCTTCGAGGGTGGGAGTATTCTGGCGATATGAATCCCTCGACAGAAACTCCAGTTTTAGGCCTTGTCTGGGATAAAGGTGAGGACATATTAAAGATTTCCGGCCATTGTTTACAGCCAAGGATCCCCGAGGTAGTCACAAAAAGGAAGATTTTGGCAGCCACACAGAAGGTATTCGACCCGATTGGCATTGTTTGCCCGGTGCTCTTGTGCCCGAAGCTGATTCTGCAGGCATTGTGGACTAAGCAGACAAATTGGGACGAGACGGTCGATGAGGAGACGGGCGCAGCATTTGTCAAGTGGCTTCGAGACTTAGAGCTTCTTCGTGAAGTTAGAATTCCGCGATGGGCTTTTGGAGGAACTAATAATTTTTTGTCACTCCATTTGTTTGTAGATGCCAGTCAAGCCGCCTATGCCGCAGTAATTTTCGTAAGAGTTGTCTGCGGCCAGGGGATTAAAGTTCACTTAGTTCAGGCCAAATCTAGACTCGCACCCCTAGGAAAGCCAACGATCCCACGCCTGGAATTGATGGGTGCTGTTATTGGAGCTCGATTACTGTGTAGCACCATCAAGTATTTGAATCGTCCTGAGGTCAAGGTATACTGTTGGACTGATTCTTCCACGGTGCTTGCATGGATCAAGAGAGAGAGTCAATGGGCGACGTTTGTCTGGCGACGAGTGCAAGAAATTAGGCAATTGACAGAACCTGATGATTGGCGTCATGTTCCTGGAGATTTAAACCCTGCTGATCTTCCGTCCAGAGGATGTTCTGCCAGGAAACTAATCAAGACTAAATGGTGGCTAGGACCACAATGGCTCTCGCGCCCTGAAGAAGAGTGGCCCCTATCCGACGCTAAGATAGATGAAGATGCTGTTCGAAGCGAGATGAAGAAAGGAACGGTGAGATCAAAGGTTGTACAAATCTCGTCCGTGCTAGTCGCCAATGCAACGGGGCATGAGTCTAGGGCAAGTGGAGAAATGATGATTCCGGATACTTCTTATGAGGGAATTCTACGGCGACTTGCCTGGATAATGAGGTTTGTTGCAAATTGTCGACTAGAGGCTTCGAAACGAGTAAGGTCCTATTTAAGAGTAAAAGAAGTTACAGCTGCGGAATTAAAATTGATACGCATGGTTCAACGTGAAAGTTTCTTTGGCTTCAAGGATTCAAGGATGAAATTGATGAACACATATCTAGACGAAGATGGAATAATTCGACTGAAAAGCCCGGTCGCGAATCGGGACGATACCATGGATTTCAGACACCCGATCTTGTTAGATTCACGACATTCCTTGGTAAACAAACTCATTGAATACACGCACTTGAGGTTAAACCATGCACCAGCAAGTATTATGATTAACGCTCTACGAGAGAAATTCTGGATACTGGGATGTAGAAGAGGCGTTAACGCTGTTATACACAGTTGTGTTTCCTGTCGCAGATTTAATGCTAAGAGAGTTGAAACATTGTCCCCGGCTCTTCCTGGAAAACGAGTTAGAGATGCAGCCGTCTTCGAGATTACTGGAATGGACTACGCAGGCCCTTTGTTTCTCCGAGACAAAACCAAGGCATGGGTCTGTCTTTTTACTTGTGCCATTTATAGAGCGGTCCATTTTGAACTAGTGTCTTCTCTGACCACGGAGAATTTCCTGGAAGCGTTCCGGCGATTCGTGTCGAGAAGAGGTCGGCCTTCCTACGTTTACACGGATAACGGTATCAATTTTGTTGAAGCTAACAACCTTTTGCAGAGCATCGACTGGAGAAAAGTGGAAAGGTATGGCGTCGTTGAGCGAATTCAATGGCAATTCAACCCCCCCTCTGCTGCCTGGTGGGGAGGATGGTGGGAGAGAATGGTACGCTCCATGAAAGATATGCTTCGAAAGGTCCTTGGGAGAGCTGCCTTGAATTTTGAGGAGGTTACTACTGTACTTTGCGACTGTGAAGCTGTTACAAATAGTCGACCCTTGACTTACCTGGCTGAAGATACCTGTCAGCTCGTGCCGTTATCGCCTTCATTATTTCTTCACGAGTTGAAAAATGACCGATTACCTGACGTCGATATAGCGATTACCACTCAGAAAATTACTGCAAGACTTCGCTACATTCAGGAACTACGCGAGGCTCTGAGAAAGCGTTTCAGAATCGAGTATCTTGGTCAACTGAAACAGTGTCCTTCGATGCGATCTACTACAAGCATTCTCAAGGTGGGAGATGTCGTTCTCATCGGCAACGACCTGCAGAAACGTCTGGACTGGCCCTTGGCCAGAATAATTGAACTTATTCCTGGAATTGATGGAGAGACGAGAGTCGTTCGTTTAAAAACAGCCACGGGAGAACTTATACGTCCTGTACAACGAGTATTTCCCTTAGAAGTACACTCTGGGGAAGAATCTTCAGATGAGCTGAGAGCTTGTCATCAATCGAAGAAGAAATCGTCAGAGAAAGCAGAGACTGTTCCCGCTAATGAAACTTGCGAAATGCGAAAGGACGCTGACGTAGAAAAACCTGAAACGCGTACACGTTACGGAAGACTTGTGAAGCCCCCGTGTAGATTTAAGCTTTAAGGATTGTCATGTGTTAATGTTTTTTTGAGCTTATTTCTTTTGTAATGAGAGATAAATTTTTATTTTTTTTTGTTTTGAGCCGTTAAAGTAAACCCTGTGTGTTGAGTTGTTGGGACTGTCAACAACTTAAGGTGGGAGAAAATGTAGAGAGAGAACTTTGTTAGAGAGCGCTTGTGTGGCTTGTGAGAG